ACTTTGTGGTAAAGGTTTACAGTCCGCAGGACGACCACTCTGTCAACAAGGGCCGTTTGGAGGCGCTCATCCGCCTAAGGCAGTCCACGAAAGAGTGGAAGAAAAACACCCAGGGTTTTGAGTGGTGCACGGTGGCAGACATGGAGGCCAAAGGGTGGCCGAAGAGCCTCGGGCTGTATTATAAATTAAAGCGTGAGTTGATGGGAACCTTAGCTCGTTTATGTCAAAATACGTTTGTACCCAAGGGAGAAAATCGAGGGAGCCAAGAAGTATTGCAGTGCGAAGAAGTTGTACAAGACCTGCCCCTACACTGGCGAATACAAATACCTCGTTCTCGTTTCCGATACGGTGCAGCAAGGCCAGGAAAAGTTGAGGGAACTTGAAGAGCTGATGGAGGAGGCAGGGTTCTTCAACGACAAGTTCCAACTGGGCTGCGGCGACTCCTTCGAAATCAGTGATGATGAAACGGTTCCGGATTCGAAGGCTGCTGCTGAGGGAAAGAATGGAAAAAAAGGGGGAAGAAACCCCAAGGGTGCAGGCTTGCCGATGATTGTGGAAGGAGAACAGGATCTATCGGGTTCGGTGGCAAAGTATAAAAAAGCAATGCTCAACAAACGAACAGTGCTCAAAGAGGTCAAGGACCGCCTCGTAGAGGAAAAGTGCTCAACACACCAGCCTCTTGTCACACAGCACATCAACATTGTCTTGTTCAGGTTTGTATGCCTGCTGATTTGATTGCTTTTATTGCATGTTGTGGTGCCTCAAACCGAGGGATGACTTGACGGCTTGTGAAAAGACATTGGGTGCAATTGGCTGCAACTTTAAAAAAGCTTGTTCATGTCATGCTTGTGCTTCACATGTATATGTGTTTCGAGACAGCATGTTCGTGCTTAAGACGTGGTCGTGAAAATCATATTTTCGCTCTCAGGTGAGCTGAATGTCCTCTACAAGAAGCTGTGCGACATGGAGCTTGCGGCGATGCTACTTGCAACAAAATTAGTTTGTTGGTACGTTCGGATCACCTGAGGATTGAAATACATCATGTTGATTAAGGGAGCCACAGCTCTTTACCGACATCACGAAACAGATCCGTGATACGCTATGGGCTCAGTTTCCTCACTTTAGTGCTGGGCTGTACCAACCAAGTTACATCAGTGTGTGCTTGCATGCAACAAGCTAAGGATTACCACTTTTGGCAACAATGTTGCCTCCCTCAAGACACTGGCCAGCATCAAGCATTCATGCATGGCATCTATGCTCATATGACCGTTACACTTGATTGAGACCATGTTTGCAGCCAAGGAGCCACTTCGCTCCAAAGCCCAAAAGGGCAGCGAAGCCTGCAGCCAAGGAGGAAGACGCATGAGCCGTAGCATGGCAGAATGGTGTTTATAAGCTATGATGCACTCGAGCTAGCACTGCTGGAACAACATGTACAACAAGCTTGTTGCTGATGCCATGTGACGATGCCATGTTTTGCTCAACCTTTTCACCTCTGTGTTAGCCTGTCGAAATGGACTGGGTATGTATTGGGTTCCCAGATAGCTCTATGCATTATTAAAATAAATGGGGTAATGAGTCCATGCAGGCAGCTTGGACACAGTTGGAATGCGTGCATGCAGTTGCTCCACGGCAAACAAATGCTTTAAAGTAGTGATGGGCCAATAGCCAAAGTACGAGATATTGTTCGATATTAGAGAACACTCATAGAGTGGCTTGGAGCATCTTTGCAAGCACGGTCTAGGACCTATAGGGGGGACTGCGGCCAGATCCCATGCGGCTGCTTGTCAAAACGAAAGCATTGCCCCTGCAGTCGGTCACGTGCTTGACTATCTATAATCTGTGCTCTTACCCTCCTGGCCTCGCGCAGGTGAAGATGCTGTGGCAAATGTGCTCATGACCTACGTGGCCCCGTGGCATGACATGTTTGCATGGCAATAAGGTCACAACATCAAGCAGCACAACAACAATAGCAAGCCCAGCGTCAAACAATGACGACGACAGCAACAACAACGACCGCCCCTACCCCTGCCACCTCTGTCAGCAGCAGCAGCAGCACCACCACCACCACCAACACCCTCACCACCACCATCACAACCAGCACCACCACCACCACCA